ACCAAAAAAATACAAGGAGAATAAGATCATGTGTTTCTGGAGTAGTAATTGTCTTCTGCTTCTCCGTCAAATCCAGGACAAGTCACAATATTTATTTATCACATAATGTAATGTGTTATCGAGTGAATATACCAATGTCATATTTTTTGGCGTATTAACCTATATGTGACCTATCAGCCTTCGATTGGTTGTAAATTTCAATTGTTTCAATTGTGACGTCAGGCCTATGACAAGTGCATGACGTCACAGACTTACGCAATGGAGTTGAAATTGCGGCATTTCAACGTTGCATGAAAATTGTCGTTTTACACGAATAAATGCCACACATTTTGATTATATGATAAAAAGAATCTTTCACTCGTTTAAATGCCGTATTAGATTTATGAAACTCGTCACGATTATTTCCAGAGGCTCGCTAAATGGAAATATTCTTAAGACTCGTTTCATAAATCTCACGAAACGGAAACTCATGATAGATCCTATATATATATAAATTACAAATCTCACTGAAGTACGCAGCGGTCAAGAATTATTCCGAGATGTTCAACACCTGCACATCAAAGAAGTACAATCAAAAAGCTTACCCGCTTAACCCTTCTATCTTCCCAGCATCATGACATTGTCTATCTACAAACATTTCTCCTCAAAACGGTATGAGAGGCGAGCTAGCATGTCTCCCGAAAAATTTATCACATTTTATCCCGCGATTTCTCTACTAAATTATCAACAAAATGCAATAAGAAGACTGAAAACATGGCAATGGATGTTCAATAGTTTCCCAAACCCGAATTTTGGATGGATGGGCGACAGTGAATGCTTAAAACATTGGATTAATTAGCAAGACAAAACACGTCTTACCTGTCTTGTATCAGCCCTTTCGCTAAGCGAACATATAACAACTTCATGATCGTTCTTGCTCAACAACACAGAGGACAACGTTATCCACGGCATTGTCAGCCATCGCCAACGGCGATTCACGTGTTTATCAGCTGTCGATCGCGGGACATCCACCTATGCACTCAGACGGTAATCCAGAACACTTACAGATATCACAAGTGCCTCACACTATCTCGGCTACTCCATCGCGGGACATCGCAACTGTGTAATGGCGATTTCGAACACCCAAACGTCCAGCTTGGTAGTCCCCGTGACGTCAACAGGGTACTTGATCCACCAACGTATCTTCATTTACCTCAGCAAGATGTCTGGCAAACAGCACATTCCACGGCTGTACATTCATTTTAACATGAGCTCTGTCCACCGCCGACGGGTGCTCTGGATGGTTACTATGGTAACCGATGGTTTCAAATAGTGCGGACTTAAACTTTTACTTAACATAAAATTTGCGGCGTTAAATGCAAAAAACATGAAATAAGATCAACTTTTAAAAATGAAAGGAATATCAAACTTCGTTTATTATGAGATTAAAGATATTTTTTTCTCGTTTTAACAAAATCGGAACGAAATCGGCGTAAGTCGAACATTTGAAGTTCGTGTGAAGGCTGGAGTTCTGGCTGTTCATTTTTTATGATTTTCTGACCGATACTTAATTTTTTTTAATTTTTTTTTTATTGTGGTTCATCGTAACGTAAATATATGAATTGAATGGAATTTTTCCATGTACCTTGCGGCAATGAATAGCAGTAATTGATCTGCATATCTTCCGAGGAGCGCTAACGCGCTCCACAGGATATGTAGATCAGCTCCTGCTATTATTTGCTGCAATGTACATGAAAAAAAATCCATTCAATCCCTGTATAATATCTGAATAAAGTGAGATTTCGTAAAAAGAAAAGATGAAAATAGTCACTAGCTTTGCTCTCAATAAACTTGATTAATCTCGAGGATCAAAGATGTATGTTTCACTGCAACCACAGCAATGCATGTAAAATGTTTTCCGACGCCATAAAGAATTACCCAAACGTCAGTGATAATGTCACGAAAATAAGTAGAAGTCATTAAATTTTAGTTTTAATAATAATATTTGAAACATTGAAGATGTGTTGTTTTATATATATCTACATTTGTATATATAGAATTATGTTCGGTTTGTTTGTTTGTTTGTTTGTTTGTTGGAGTTTAACGGCCCATCGACGGCTGTGGTCATTTAGGGCCATGGTGATAAATTAATTGATTTTATTTTTTAAACAAACATGTGAGTAGCGAAGATAAAAAGGTTCATTTTAAAAGAATTGCATTGTATGTGTAGATAATTAAAATAAAAAGGGGGTTAAAATAATAAAAGAGATAACGAATAAACGATATGGACTATGTGATATATCTAACGTCAAAAAGGGTAAGGTGGGTTAAAAGACACCAGAGTCTTTTATATAATAGACCGATGTCTTTCAGATAGTTAAATAATGCCTTCGAGTCCACGGAACTGCAAAGAGTTTTCATATCCGGGACTCGAAAGTAGTTATCACGAATGTGTTTAAAACCAGAACATTATATTAAAAAATGTTCCACTGTAAAATGAGTGTCACATGCGTGGCATGAAGGTAGGTCTTCTCATTTTAAGAGGTACGAATGAGTAGGATGTGTGTGCCCAGTACGGAGCCGAGAAATTATACTTAAAAATATTTAACTTAAGGAAGAGAATGATCAGTGTGAACACCAACAAAATAGATGATGCTCTAAGCCTAATATAAGATCAGGAATGTATTGAACAAGTAAAGAGTGAAAAACTTCTTGGTGTAAAAATTGACAACAGTTTATCTTGGTTAGATCACATAGCATCTGTTGTTTCAAAGATTAACAGTGGTTTGGGTTTACTTCGACGCATCCGTAATATTTACCACTTTCAGCTAGACTTAATTTTTTCATGCATGTATTTTTCCCCACTTCATGTACAGTAGCACAGTATGGAGCGGATGCTCTTTAAATCTTTTACAAAAACTGTCAAAAGCGCAGAAACAAGCTGCAAGATTACTGTTGGATGCTCCATTTGATGCACCATCAGTAGAAAAGTTTTCTTCATTAGGGTGGTTACATTGTACCAATTGGCGAATATTTGAAATTCAAAAGAGGTGTTATGGTGTACAAATGTATAAATAATCTAGTTCCAGGATATCTTTCTAATCAATTTAATTTGTCTAACAACATATATACTAGATCAGCATCCCAAAACTCTGTCAAGGTACCCAAACACCGTACCCCATTTTATTCCAAACACTTTTTGGCACAAGGGAGCCAGATTTGGAATAATTTACCGATTGAAGTACGACTCTCTTCCTCCTTGACAAAATTCAAACAAAATGTGATTGGTAACATTAAGAATGCGGTTTAATTGTCTTTTATTTTTACTATTATACTTTTTAGATACAGCTTTGATTTGTTTTATTTTCGCTAAATTAGCGTGTATTCTGTCAATTTTTAGCTTTTGCTACATTAGCATATATGTAAATTAGACAATTTGTCTTTTAATGAAAACCATAATGGGTTAAGCACGGAATATATTTCGTGCTTCTGTGATAATTTTATTGTAATTGTATTGAACGACCGTTTAAATCATAAAATAACTGTGATATGAATTGCTGTTTTAGTAGACCAACAATTATTTTATGTACATTTATTTGCTGTGATACTACTTCGTCTTTTAACTAACCAATTTTACTAACAGAGGACCCTGTGGAAGATTAGCTTTGCTAAACAGGTTTTGTATCCTCAATAAATAAAGTTGTTTATTATTATTATTATTATTATTATTATTATAGCCTATATAGATCATTGCTACTGCTTAAGTGGACGAATTTACGGGGTCGAAAGTTTTATCAATTTTACAAACAAATGGTAAATATACAGACTAACAAATTAATAGAGTATGAAATAATCGTTACAAATATATTGTAAACAAGATCAATTCAACGACGAAAATTGGTCGGAAGTAAATATGAAAATATTCAAATCTTAACGTTCAGTGAATGTCATGAGCTGACAATCTAATGGCTAAGATGTTCAGGAACTTCCCAATACCCTGGCGTGCATTTCTACTAATATGTTATAGACATGTAATTCCGTTTAGTGCGTTTGAATCAGTTTTACTCATCTTGTACTGATTGCAAATTTTAACTTAAATAAAATAGTAATGGTGACACGTTTTCAGATGAGAGAGCTATATATCCACTGACAATGGCGACAATGGCATTTCTACCAATTCCTCTTTACTTTGTCATACTGAACATATTGAACATACAATGTACAACAAATTTAATTGATTAAGAGATCGGCCGTGATTTTTATATTGCTATTCGATCCCGGTGAATTGAAAGCAATAAATAGGCTCGTCTGTGATTTTAACGTGCGTTAGAAGGGGGATAACTCTAAATAGGTTTACATATTCCAGACAAACGGATACTTCTTTATATTATAGGTCAAAAAAAGAATCTTATATAATGATTATAGAACAGTAAAGAATTTATTGTTACAATAGTGCTGTAGATTGAAGCAACATATAGTAGGCCAAGATAATAACTAAGGTTGATTGAGTAAAGCATTCTCAAATTTTAGCTACTTTTTTCTAGTATATACAATGTAGATGTACCAAGGTTGAAAGTCATAGTTCTTGTCCTAGAAACGATGTTGCTTAAATTTATTTTATTTTCATAAAACATCGGGTTTACTGGCAAAGTTTGTTTTAAGAATCGAACGCCATTTTAAGTTTTGTGAAGCCGGTCTTTGAATTTGACATATATATATTTTTTCATTTTCATTTTAAATTGAGTAAAAAAACACGTGAGAGTAAAATCTAGTTTGTTCAAGTATTTTGAAACTACAAAGGAAATTACACAACAATATACGATAGCAATATCTTTCAAATAAAATGAGATTCCCATGGACCCTTTCCAGGACATAAAAATGACCCCTGAAAATGAGGCGGAGATAATATCCATTTTCTTTCATTCCTACACAGTCCAATAGGAGAAAACATCTAGATAATATCACGTTACATATACATACATACTGAATTAGTAGAAACATTCCAAAGAAACAAATTAGGTGAAAACAACATTTATTTAAAAAAACATCGAAGAATATCATTATTCAAATACGGTCAATCGGTTTGTTCGCAGTTTATAGATTCACTTTCCTGAAAAATAAAATAAATGTTTTGTTACATGTGTGAGTTAACGAAAACACGTCCAATGTCATGCAGTAAGAAAATCCAATACATCAAATGTTAACGGCGTAGTTCCTAATTTAAAGATTTCTTTAAAAAGATTGAAATAGTCACTAGCTTTGTCTCGTGAAACATGATCAATCCCAAGGAAACAAAGAATTATGTTTTCCAGCAACCATGGCAAAACATATGTTAGCAAATTGAACCAAATTGTTAGAACTTGTCAGGAAATAAGCCAACTCACCTACCAGTCCATACACTCGGTTATCCAAGCTACTTTTCGACTGATGTACTCTCAGGAATTTCAACGAACATCAGGGTATCTTCTAGGATATCGCCATCAGACATATCCATCCAATTCCGGGAGAATCGGTTTGATTCTGTTAGAAACAAAAATTCGAGATTAATACAAATTACTAGTCAATCAATTTTAATTGACATCATAGAAACAATAAATAAAACGATAAGTATATAAATCTCAAATACCGAAATAGTAAAAAGAATATGCTGGATTCTCAATTCATAACAAATAGATCTATGCTGACAAAACACAGGCCATTCGGATTGATATGTCTCGATTATGCTCCGCTTTGACCATCAATGCACATATCGGACAAACAAATTCAAACGGAAAAACGTAATGTTGATGGAGATGCTCAAAAAATCAGTGGACCATGAAAGGTAGGCCGCATCTAGCATTTGATGCATGGGTTTGGATCTACTACCTTAGATGCATTTATGGTCCAAGTTTGGTTGGTCTAGCGCTATACTTTCAGTGAAACTAACTCAAACGCAAAATCGTAATGTCGACGCCGTCGCCAGAAAAGTAACACCTTAATATCGCTTCAACTTCGTGGCGGCAAGACAAAAACTATATGTGCGAAACATTTTACAATATCAGAGTCCCTAATGTTATTACAGTCATTGTGCAATACCAATTTTACCTCTACGTCCAAACGTTCCCTGGATTCCTCCTGTAGCGTGTCCGTTGTGGTCCACGTCTAGTGAGGCCGTCTCCTTAACTCCACCGAGGTCCACTCCCGCGTTCACTCCTCCACTTATGTCGTGGTAGTGGTCCATATCCACATGTGCCTGCACATGTGCAATGCCTCCAAGATCAAGGCCCGCATCGACTCCTCCGCTTACGTGACCTTGGTCGTAGTTAGCGTGGACACCGGCACTTCCGAATTTGCCAACATTGCCGGACACTCCAATATCGCCTCCAGACAGATCGCCATGGGAAAAGTGAGCATGCCCGGAGACACTTCCAACTGGTGTATGTAAACTTCCGCCTGCACTCGAACTACCATCGCCTTTACTTCCGGCGTCGACACTGCCGCCAAAAGAATCGGTGAAAAATCGTCGCTTTTCATTGCTTTCATCTGAAATAATGGCAAAAACAGATTATCGTTTTAGCCTTCCATATATGCTTTGACAAAGCACTTTTCCAAATTTAACTATGCCACATAGGAAACTAAATGATCCAACAGGTAAGAATGTTTCTTGGGTCTTTTAAACAATGACGATATCACGAAACATCTGACACCAAACAGATTATTTCTGGATATTGGAACATGAACGCACGGCGAACTTTACCTCTGCGTCCAAACGTTCCCTGGATTCCTCCTGTAGCGTGTCCGTTGTGGTCCACGTCTAGTGAGGCCGTCTCCTTAAATCCACCGAGGTCCACTCCCGCGTTCACTCCTCCACTTATGTCGTGGTTTTGGTCCATGTCCACATGTGCCTGCACATGTGCAATGCCTCCAAGATCAAGGCCCGCATCGACTCCTCCGCTTACGTGATCGTGGTCGTAGTTAGCGTGGACACCGGCACTTCCGAATTTGCCCACATTGCCGGACACTCCAATATCGCCTCCAGACAGATCGCCATGGGAAAAGTGAGCATGCCCGGAGACACTTCCAACTGGTGTATGTAAACTTCCGCCTGCGCTCGAACTACCATCGCCTTTACTTCCGGCGTCGACACTGCCGCCAAAAGAATCGGAGAAAAATCGTCGCTTTTCATTGTTTTCATCTGAAATAATGGCAAAAACAGTATATCGTTATAGCCTTCCATATGTGCTTTGACAAAACTCAGTTTCCAAATTTAACTATGCAACATAGGAAACTAAACGATCCAAGAGGTAAGAATTTTGCTTGGGTCTTTTAAACAATAACGATATCACGAAATATCTGACACCAAACAGATTATTTCTGGATATTGGAACATGAACGCACGGCGAACTTTACCTCTGCGTCCAAACGTTCCCTGGATTCCTCCTGTAGCGTGTCCGTTGTGGTCCACGTCTAGTAAGGCCGTCTCCTTAACTCCACCGAGGTCAACTCCCGCGTTCAATCCTCCACTTATGTCGTGGTTTTGGTCCATGTCCACATGTGCCTGCACATGTGCAATGCCTCCAAGATCAAGGCCCGCATCGACTCCTCCGCTTACGTGATCGTGGTCGTAGTTAGCGTGCACACCGGCACTTCCGAATTTGCCCACATTGCCGGACACTCCAATATCGCCTCCAGACAGATCGCCACGGGAAAAGTGAGCATGCCCGGAGACACTTCCAACTTGTGTATGTAAACTTCCGCCTGCGCTCGAACTACCATCGCCTTTACTTCCGGCGTCGACACTGCCGCCAAAAGAATCGGAGAAAAATCGTCGCTTTTCATTGCTTTCATCTGAAATAATGGCAAAAATCAGAATATCGTTATAGCCTTCCATATGTGCTTTGACAAAGCTCATTTTCCAAATTTAACTATGCCATATAGGAAACTAAATGATCCAAGAGGTAAGAATTTTTCTTGGGTCTTTTAAACAATGACGATTTCACGAAACATCTGACACCAAACAGATTTTTATTTGATATTGGAACAAGTACGCAAGGCGAACTTTACCTCTACGTCCAAACGTTCCCTGGATTCCTCCTGTAGCGTGTCCGTTGTGGTCCACGTCTAGTGAGGCCGTCTCCTTAACTCCACCGAGGTCCACTCCCGCGTTCAATCCTCCACTTATGTCGTGGTTTTGGTCCATGTCCCCATGCGCCTGCACATGTGCAATGCCTCCAAGATCAAGGCCCGCATCGACTCCCCCGCTTACGTGACCTTGGTCGTAGTTAGCGTGGACACCGGCACTTCCGAATTTGCCAACATTGCCGGACACTCCAATATCGCCTACAGACAGATCGCCATGGGAAAAGTGAGCATGCCCGGAGACACTTCCAACTGGTGTATGTAAACTTCCGCCTGCGCTCGAACTACCATCGCCTTTACTTCCGGCGTCGACACTGCCGCCAAAAGAATCGGAGAAAAATCGTCGCTTATCATTGTTTTCATCTGAAATAATGGCAAAAACAGTATATCGTTATAGCCTTCCATATGTGCTTTGACAAAACTCATTTTCCAAATTTAACTATGCCACATAGGAAACTAAACGATCCAAGAGGTAAGAATTTTGCTTGGGTCTTTTAAACAATGACGATATCACGAAATATCTGACACCAAACAGATTATTTCTGGATATTGGAAAAAGTACGCACGGCGAACTTTACCTCTGCGTCCAAACGTTCCCTGGATTCCCCCTGTAGCCTGTCCGTTGTGGTCCACGTCTAGTGAGGCCGTCTCCTTAACTCCACCGAGGTCCACTCCCGCGTTCACTCCTCCACTTATGTCGTAGTTGTGGTCCATGTCCACATGTGCCTGCGCATGTGCAATGCCTCCAAGATCAAGGCCCGCATCGACTCCTCCGCTTACGTGACCGTGGTCGTAATTAGCGTGGACACCGGCACTTCCATATTTGCCCACATTGCCGGACACTCCAATATCGCCTCCAGACAGATGGCCATGGGAAAAGTGAGCATGCCCGGAGACACTTCCTACTGGTGTATGTAAACCTCCGCCTGCGCTCGAACTACCGTCGCCTTTACTTCCGGCGTCGACACTGCCGCCAAAAGAATCGGAGAAAAATCGTCGCTTTTCATCGATTTCATCTAAAATGAAAAACACTTGTATAGTGTATAGTACATGCATTATCTGCTAAGCAGTCGAGGACTTATTTAAAGATTATATTGTTTTAAACAAATTGCAAATATTTTTGAAACGATACAAAATTTTAATTTTGTTTTGTTTGAATGTTGTTGGGGGTTGGGGGGTTTTTTTGGGGGGGGGGATTCTTGTTTAAATGTAATTATTCATCTATCTTTTCTTGTCACAATTCTTTTTATTGTGTATGATGTCAATGAACATAAACATTAGATATATGTACTAAAGTGTAATACTTATTCAGTACCGCCAGATATATCATTTTACTATTTGCTTAAATTGGCACACATATTCATAGGTTAACTTGATTTTACCTTCCAGCAAATCTTTACAGTCAGACCCGAGCAGCAATTTGACTGCGCCTATGTCGGTATTCTGTAAATGAATAAAAATCATATTATACAACCTGATCTGAAATAAAATGGCTGGATTAAATCTCGGTATGTCAGCAGAATTCATTTCGGGCTTGTAACCTGACCTCATGTAAAATCATAATTATGTATGTTTACTGTAGGAATTCCTCCTTACACCATAGTACATTTCTCTCCACATTGCCAGTCATACATTCTTATTTGGTTTTGCACATGTTTAAATATATATATATACGTATAGTATATTTTGGTTGAACACCCCTATATACTTATAGTGTGCAGTGGTTGAACACTCTGGGTTAATAAACGTTTAATGTGTACTTGTTTAACAACCAATTTATACAGGTATAATGTGTAGTAGTTAAATACACTGCATACAGGTATTGTGAGCAGTGGTTTAATACCGTGTATGTTCTGTATAGACATGTATTGGGTACAGTTGTTGAACAAGTGGGTTTCTTCATACACATGTATAGTATGTGTTGATCATAATGATTTAACCCTCTCTGTTTATACAAGAATAATTGCGAAGCGGTTTAATTATCCGTATAAACGTATAATTTGTAGTGACTGAATGCTTTGCATAAACCTGTTTAAGATAATTGGTTGGACAATATCCATTTATAAATGCATGATACATGAATTTTGTTATGTATACTTTGTAAATGCAAAATTGTACTGGTTGAACGCTCTGTATATAGATGCAAACTCCATGTATTTAGTAGCTGACTTTGTTCAGTATGTTAATGCCAGGGTAACTGTTACATAGAAATGCTACCAATGTACTTCAGTTTTGATAAAACAAATAGACAATAATGTTTTTTTGGCCGTGATGTTAATTGCATTGTTATTTCTTTTTTAAACTTACCACTTTCCTGTGTGATTTCACAAAAGAACCACTAGAGTGAAGACAATAGAAACCAGCCAATCCAAGAGCTGCAAATATACGACAACAAGGATACTGACAATACAACCTGTCAAGCAAATATACGACAACAAGGATACTGACAATACAACATGTCAAGCAAATATACGACAACAAGGATACTGACAATACAACCTGTCAAGCAAATATACGACAACAAGGATACTGACAATACAACATGTCAAGCAAATAAACGACAACAAGACTCGAGACAGTAAAACTTGACATGCAACTAAACGATAACAAGGCTAGAAACAATTCAACTTGTCAAGCAAATATACGACAACAAGGCTAGAGACAGTAAAACTTGTCAAGCCAATATACGACAACAAGGCTAGAGACAGTAAACCTTGTCAAGCCAATATACGATAATCACTCAAGCCTCACGCAATAACTTGCAATTGTAACTCAATTTTAAGCAGGATCTCCCTGTCATCATATATCCATTCATTGTATAACGTAATAATGTAGCTAGCTCTGCTGATATACTCTTTCACATTTTATAAGAAACAAGCACATTCGTGGAATTTATATCCCCCGCTTGCAGGACATATTGTAGGTAAACAATATTGAGGTTAGGTTTAAACTTGTGAGTATCGTGCTTTTGAGACATATGTAAAGCTTGAAACTCGAAGAAAGAAAAAGCCTTCTGCACAAATCACATCGGTTGGCAAACTTAGCATGTGCATACGGAATTTGGTTGAAATATCTGCACAATACCTACAGCAATTATCACACGAAAACCAAAGAGTGCCCGAGATGGGTGGAAAGACAGGAACACAAACATTGATATCAAGTTTGAAGAAATTTGGCTAATATTTGCTAGAGTTATTAAGCGGAAACTGCATATAATGAGGTTTTACGTTAATAAAGGGGCCAATACTCTGCCAAATGGAGTCCGATTAAGGGTTGTCAACCTTAGCCGAGCCCTTCATGCGTTGAACCCTGTTACTAAGTTTGAAGGCAATCGGAAAATATTCCCGAGAGTTAATGAACAGAAACGGCAGATAATGACATTTTTCGTTATTCATGGAGCCATAAGTCCGCCAAATGGAGTCCGCTGAAAGTGGTCATCAAACTTGGCCATGCCCTTAAGGCATTTAACCCTGGTATCAAGTTTGAAGAAAAACGGTTAACATTTGTTGCAGTTATTGCACGGAAAACGGCAGCTGACGTTTTTTGTTATTCAAGGGGCCATAACTCCGCCAAATAAAGTCCGCTGAAAGTGGTCATCGAAGTTGGCCGAGCCCTGAAGGCATTTAATCCCGCTACCAAGTTTGAAGAAAATCGGTTAACATTTGTTGCAGTTATTGCACGGAAACGAAACGTGACAAACAGACAGACAGACAGACAGACGGACGGACAATCCCAAATTATTAATAATAGTTAAAGAATAATTCATCTGTCGTAGTCAAAAATTGAAACATAAGTAACGGTTGTATAGACGCTTTTCCCATTTTTTCTGTATCTAACATATTTCGGAGCTATATAATTCAAGGGACCTTGAGAACTGCTGATGAGTTAAAGGATGAAATGGTCACAATGTGTGGTAAAATATTTAGACAGACTAATTTTAAAGTAGGATTTTCCTTACTTCGTTCTTCTAATGAATATTTTATTGCAGAAGTAATTTCAAATACTTTTGAATATAAAATTGGTAAATTCAGATGTATTTTCTGATGTAGACAGGTGAATTGATGAATTGAATTAGTCAAAATATTGTTTTATCGTGTAGAAATACAATAAACAAAACTAAAACAGTGTGATACTTACATTTTTCTTCGGGAGAATAGTTGACATAACAAATGCACGTTAAATCTTGGGTTAAACTTGTTGTTATAGACACAAGTACCAAAGCTATGGTACAATGTACAATTCCTCGCATCGTATTATGTTGTTTGTTCCGTCCTTAGAACGTAAATATCCAATGAGCTGCTCACTTTTATAGGCACTTGCAATTTCAAAATGACACAAACATGACGTCATATTGGATCAAAACAACACATGTCAGTGTTCTCACGGATGTAGTTTTACCATTGTTTACGTAATGGCCAATCCTGACAAAGCATGGACATTGGTGTCGTCGTTATGGAATGCTGTCGGGGGTTAGTACGTCACGTCGTCGCCGATTAGGGAGAATATACGTTCATTGCTATGGATTTAGTTGGAATTATTACGATGAGTGATAATAATTCTTGCACTCACGGAGATAATGTTTCGTCGTAATTTATCTATTTTGTTTAAAAAATATATATATAACATTTGTTGAAACAAAAGCAGACGCAGTTAGATATATAGATTTAATTAAGATTATAGTTGTTATTTGCAGTTTGAGTAACAAAATTCTCACGACTTTTCTCATGATTAATGTGCCAATAATTTAAGTTAACCATTAACACTCAATCTTATTAACTTTAAATCAATATATTTGTTTGCGAGATGGAAGCGCGCATGGTCTTAATGTTAGAGGAGACTGGACTAATCCAAGAAACACATTGTTTGGCAGGTAACACCGGTCGTTGTGAAGGCGAAGACAGTATCAATTGCTCCGCAAGAATACTCTGATTATCGGGCATTGACGTTATGAAAAATAGAAAAATACGGGGAAATGGTTGATACGCCAATTTAACGGAAGGGTCTTTTATTGACTTATATTTTATTATTTTCCCTGTCCATATTTGTTTAACTTGAATAATGCCGTATATATAAAGGTACGTGTATTAAAATATTACAATTGTCACTCAGATGAGATACTGGAATCTAGGTTATAAAACTATTTAGGGAATTACACGCAGTCTGGCTTGTAGATATGATTTGAACACAAACTGTTTCCGAGTGCATAATGCGATGACCTGTGTCTGATAACGGGACCACTTCCTACTCTATTTGAGTACTGAGTGACACGTTCTTACCGTTATAAACATGACCTCATCGAGGACGTTAGCTAATATTATCTTAAATATACGATCCTTTGCTCTTACCTAACTCAATAACTTTCGCAGATATGATGGTTCTAAACAAAATATACCAATGACTTGTCACAATTTTTGTATTTAAATTTTTTTAGTTATACAGAAGTCTAGACTTTTAAAGCAAATAATTATTGTGATGTATGTCAAGTAATACACATGCTTGTTGATCATTGGTTTAACCATAATATTAACATAACTATTTCGGTAGTTCAAATGTGGAAGAAATATGTTTAACTGTCATAGATAAGGAAAAGACATTGTATTAACCTCTTATTTCCATGCTTCATCGTTTCCTCTGCAGGTTTGTGACCATCGTTAAGTTATATAAATATATTACTTTAATATTATTGAAAGAACATATATTTCATATTTTAAGAAAGTTAAAACACAAAAACTAAATATTAAAATATGTCTGTGCATTACAATTTTCGAACTCCGCATATACCGAAATATGTCATCTTATAGGTAACCATAACTTTTGACCTGCTGACTTTTTTTTTTATTGCAGAAGTGTATTGTTCAACCTAAACATGTGTACATAGAATCCCGACTAATCCGACACAGTATGGGATACAGCATCAAGGTCAGATTTGACAAGATATTGATTTGTTTTGTAGTTTCATGTAGAAAACACAGTAGAAAGTAGTAATAAAATACAGTATGCCAAAAATAAATTACACTGCATCATACAGCTTGCAAATATGAAGGCCAACTTTGGCAGGCGCCATTCGAATGAGGTTTGTACCAACATAACTCTACCGAAAAGTATCACCACGGTAATACATTTAAATACATCAACAAAAATCAATTTGATGTGCACAACCTGAGAAAACTAAAACTGTAAGCCAAAGGCAAACTAACACCACCGTTCCTTTATAAACCATAACTGTATAAGCTAAAGGCTAACAAAACGAAAGGAGTGTTTTTTCTGATATTGGCAAAAGGTGAATGCTAAAGGGACAGAGAAAGATCTCCTGTCGGTAAACATGTTCGATACGAATCCCGGAAACACGTCATACAGTCAAATTTGGCATATAAGATTAAATCTAGGAAGATGATTTCGATACATTTTGCTTCATCAAAGTGGAATCTGCATTTGAATGTCTTCATTAATGATAGGACTACATATATGAGGAGCCTTTTCTATTATTTTCAAAGATATATACATGTAAGAAATTTGTATTGAACAATACTTTGCATCAAGGAAGGAGAATGAACCTATGCCAGTTTTCTCATACCTAGATTGCTTACGTAATAACCTACCACAACAGTGTTAATATTGGTATTGTTATTTACGGAATGGTGTCAGAGGTCACTACGTCAAAATATATTTCCCAGATAAGGGAGAATATACGTACATAGGTAGGGAACTATTATGTAGTAAGAAGTATTCTAATTATGTATGAGGAGTGATACGTATTCTAGCACTCACGGAGATAATGTTTCATCGTGATATATCTAGATAGTATATGATACCAATATTATGAATTTGGATTATTTTTCAAATATTGTCTTTGCCGAAAATGTATTACAGCTGCTAAAATATACCAGAACAAATACATTTTTATGTTTAAATATCATTGTAGATGAAACTACTCGAGTTAGATAAACTTGGTAAACAAACAATATTCGTTAACGGAGACAATGGAGACAACCGTTATTTGTTTGGGGATCGCCTTTATTCCATAATTGTGAAATATACATAGTATTAAAAATCGTTATATGCATTATATTTCCATTGTAAGTTCCTATATCAGAATTACTATAAGAAATTTCGTTCATAGGGCTATGTCCGCCAATGGATAAGAGTCATTTTGAAGTTTCACCTTTCGCTTTGAATATCAGGAGACAGCCATTATACGTTTGGGGATCAACCTTTATTTCATTATTGTGAAACATACATAGTATTCAAAATCGTTATATGCATTATATTTTCATTGCTAGTTCATATAGCATCACTATAAGAAATTCCGTTCATAGGGCTATGTACGCCAATGGATAATCGGCATTTTGAAGTTTCACCTTCCGCCTTGATTAACACCTTTATTCAATAAATGTGAAATATACATAGTATTCAAAATCGTTATATGCATTATATTTCAACTGCAAGTTCCTATATCAGCCTAACTATAAGAAATTTCGTTCATAGGGCTATGTACGCCGATGGATCAGCGTCATTTTGACGTTTCATCTTCCGCCTTGATTAACAGGACACAACTGTTAGAACCAAACATTTTGGTGACGTCGGGCTGTTCTAGGTTTCTCCTTTGCAATGACGACACAAATATTTCAATATCGGAAAAAAAAATCTTTGTTAAGGTCAATAATGGCTATAAACTTGTGTTAGTTATCCTATATGTTTCGATTGGTTGGCATCAAATACACCATTTATCGAAATATATAGGATAAGCTTCTTGAACCATGGTCCCGCCCCTCTGAAATGATTGACATTGAAAACGATGACTTCAAAACTATGCCCTTCAGCTCGCTAATCAAGTAGGAGATAATTGTCGACAACGCACATTCTGATTGGCTAAAAGCTAAAACGCGGGAGATATTACGCAATATACCAGCTATCTTCCATTTTCAAAATGAACTCGGCGCAGGAACGATCGGTTTGGGACGGAGATGATTTCGTTTTATCTCAGGCATTAGATGTCTTTGAGAGAATAGTTCGCTTTCACAAACTCTTGAAGTGTATGATTTCGACTCGGACAGTGTCTTAGACGACAAAGATTTTGGTAATTTTGATACAAAGAATTTGGAGGTAATGTTGTCATGTGATTTGGATGAAACTGACGTAAAAGGCCAGCGAGTTGTGCCGGTATGTGAAGAAGTTGAATTGGCAGATACATAGAAAAACACTGAGAGCAGGAACACCTGGAAGAACAACAACTGGAGTACGACGACTTTTAATGAATGACGACGATTTTGTCAATCTGTGAGTGACGTGAACATTCCAGATGATGTAGAAATGACGGAAAATGATGTCAACAAATGGCTCAGTCGTTTCGTTATGGAAGCCAGGCGTAAAGGTGGCGGGGATTACCCTCAACGATCTATCTACCAGTTGTGTGGTGGATTACGAATTTCGAAAAGTTTTGAGTTCTAGAATGTCTGAACTAACAGCAAAAGGTGTCGGCGTGGGTAAAAACAAGCTGATCCCCTGACAAAGGAAAATGAGCGTGTTATAAGGGAGAAGGGGATTTTCAGGAATTCAGTGCTAAATCTCACCTTAATACTGTATTCTTTTACAACTGTAAACTGTTTGGTTTACACGTGGTGTAGGTGAACACAAAAGTTTGTGTGTGGAGCAGTTTACCTTTCACGATGGGAATGATGTGAATATGCCTTACCTGACGTTCTCTGGGAGGATAAGCAAGACTTACAAGGGTGAGTGAAATAGTCGTTTACACATGGACTTTCAGCCCACGGTTAATTCATATTAATGTATGACACAAAGTACAAGACGTTTATTGACCAATCAAGGGCCTACAAGGGTCATAGTTTACATACAACGTTCATGATTTTAAAAGAAACATTATATTTACTATTTAGAATACTAACAATTCATAATACTAACATACTATATCAACCGTGGATTGGAAATTTATGTCAAGTCCCTGTGTGTATTTGGCATTTGTACATGTACATGACTTCAAAGCAGTCGATTCCTTTCACGGTGATTTTAACTGAAATAATTATCCAACAATGTTTAAACGTTTGATAAATGATACACACAATTAAGAACAGAAAATCTATTAAAAACTGAAATGGAATAAGTTTGTATATTTTAGGTGGGTTAAATCAGCGCCACATGTCGGCAAAATCAATCAAGCACGTGTTCAACGACGATCTGCTGTCCAATGTGTACAAAGAGTACATTGACTTGATCAAGAAGGACATGCCAGACCAGAATAATGAACAACAATTTTATATGCGCCCTCAATG